CAAGGCAGCGGTGTTTGGCGGGGAAATGCAAACGCATTAACTTTTCTACGGAACAAGTCGCCATACATGTTCCAACCTCCAACCTGGAGGGCCAGGAGACTGTGTTCGTCAGACCTCTAACCATTGACCAACCTGGTATGAGAGACTCTGTGAGTGTCGCGTGGACACCCCCCAGTATAGCTCAACGGGTCGCCGAAGTACACAAACCGCCACACCACGATGAGGTCCAGTCTCTTCGTGACTCTTGACTGAACTAGTCAACCCAAGGGCGCAAAGAAATATGATTACTGGAATCTAGTATGGCGCACTGAGTCCTGGGGCTAATCAAAAATCCCACACAACAGATACCGGGTCATTGCATCAGGATCACCAGACACCAAAAAAGTAATGAACGAGAAGTCTGAGCGGCTCGTATTTCAGTAAAAGTGAACTGCAGTGGGGTAACTGACTGGTATACAATAAAAAGCGACCTAGTGTTGTATGCAAAGCAGATGTTAAACGCGATGTTTTGTCACACTCGAAGAGAGAGCCTAAAACGTAGGTAAGCCTTTCTAGCCAAACGAAGAGTACAACCGGGAGATTCGGATTTATGTAAACCATAACGCATGCGTTAGGGTAGTCCAAATCCAGTAATTCTACGAGAAACAGCCGGGAAAGATGAGACATTGTTCGACCCGAAGAAAATCCCCTCCTCAAGGTGCAGACCATCTGACCAAGTGCCGCGAATTTCTATTTGCAATGGGGTCTGCTTTAAGCCCATTCGTTCAAAGATCGACGAAACTACAGCCTTTCGTGTGTTAACTGTAGTCTGAGTCGACCGACACTACGGCAAGCAAAACCGCTTTCGTCATCCTATCGGATAGTCAAAGTGACATCACATATGGTCTGCTCACTAAGGGCACCGACAAATGAAGTCGGACCAGAATCACGTATAAAATGGGCACTGAAGCTGCCAGTTGGCTGACCTCATAGTGACACACCAAGCCCGCCAAAGACCTCATCAGAATTCGTTTACTCCACCTTCATATCTGACGAATGTGAGTTAGCCTGAATTCGATTTAACTCTCATGTGAGTGGACTTCCGACGCGAGCAAACAAGCATCCGCTCGCGACAGTGTGGGTTTACTTTGGCTCAGTAAACACTTTAATGCGCGACAACGATGTGCAACGATCTCCATGAATCCAACATGCCCAAGAGAAAGAGAGAGTTCACTATGAACAACTACTGTGTCTAAACGAACGCGAGAGTAGGCAAGTGGAACACATACAAAAAACCATTGTGGACAACTACTGAAGATAAAAGTGAAGCATTTGTGTGGATACATGACAGTTTCACATGATTATTCGCCCACCTACCTTTAGGCCTCGAGCTACCATACATTTGAGGTGCTCGCAAAACGGCTGCCTGTTAACTGTGGTTTCGCTGTCAGGTGCCGATCGCTTGGCTTCTGGCTCATCCGCGCCGGAGTCGGATTTTTCCCGATGAAGGCATGCCGGTAGCTGTAAAAGCATTGGGGTCATGTTATTATGCTTAACAGATAACTCCAATTCACGGAGTCCATCCAGACCATCTTGCATTTGGGCCTTGGTGTATGAAATCAAAGCACGTTTCCTGTATGGCCGTGCAGGTGCTGATTGTTGTCCTGGAACGGGCGCCGTTTTGTCGGTAGGCTCCGAAAAGTCTGTCTGTATAGCTTCCACACGTGGCAGTGCATTCTCGACCAAAAGGCTCGCTTGTTGTTTACATCGTTTAGCATGTTTTTTTCCAGTAAGATGGTAGTTTAACTGATCGCTTGAACGACACGACAAGTCACATACGATACACTTAAACTCGTTTGGAACCGTGTTTGTGGAGGGTGGTGTAGTGGAAACGACCGAATTGGTCGATGTTTCAAGTACACGCTCGGGGGGTAAAACGCTTGGAGAATACTTCAGTTTTCGTTTGTGTTTGGATCCATTGATATGAGTTTCGTAGTTTTGTCTTGAATTAAGTACTATTTTGCAAGTTCCACAGTCAAAACTAACCATGGCTGCTCGGATGAATAGGCTAGCAACAATATTACTTACCTTTAGAAAGCGAAGCTTTCCGGTGTTCTTCTCCATTAATATGTGATTCGAAGGGAACTCGGCCGAAACACGTCAGGTTACACATATTACATACAAAAAATTCATCGGGATGCGGTGAAACTGAATCAGTCGTAAGAGTATAGTGCGAAGTGTTTTCCGTAGAGGGGAGAGAATCAACTGGATGGCATTCGGAGAGACAACTGGCGGATAAATGGGTTGCCTCCTCACCAGTATTACCACTCATAACTTATGTTACCTGTGCTGAAAAATGGAATGGACCTTGTACGAAAAAAAAGACAGCCGAACTATGAAAGTAGTTCCATGGTTTGCTTATAATAGGATACAGACCAAAGATATCACAGGTAGTATAGAACCGTCGTTCATTCATTGGCTTCAAAAACAAATACCACTAACACACGTAATATTGCAGCAACATCTCTACCGGTGTCCGGACACTTGGGTATGTCGCTTCATTGAGATGAGAGGAAGCTGTAGGCTTCCCGGGGATGCACCCAATATTATATAGGGCAACGTTCCCCCGGTGGGTTTAGCAGTGATATATGGTGTGTATGAGCAGCGGACGTATAACCGGGGTACGGTGGGTTCCCCAGAACCCGTCAATATCACGAATCGGCGAAGGCCCTTAGTATCTACGTCCGGTTATCAGTAACGTTCAGGAGTCCTGTAATGGGGTGCCGACATTTCTAACGCAACTACTTCATCGCGCCGCCACTGGGCCACCACTTGATCAGCTTCAACCCGCTTCCAATCAGTACATGAATTTGCCTGTGGAGTGGACATATTTTGTCTTAGCTCACCTGTCGTAATGACTCTTCCAAGATACCCATTCAGTGAAGAAAATAAGGTTACAATGTCTAACAAAGGTCGACGGCGGCACAAGGTCGTACTGCACGTAAGATGCACACAGCTTCAAAATTGAAAGACAAAACCAGGATGTTCGACCAGCCGCGGAAGAACGTAAATCCTTCCCGCTTGACCCCGGAGCCACAGTCCTGGATATGAAAGATACGATTGTGTCGTTGCCGCAGCCCAGGACCTATAACATGAGAATTCGATAGTCCACGTAAGCATAATAGGACTCAGGTAGTTGAGAAACCCATGTGATGAGGCTCTGGATCAGAGACACCCTGTTACACACACATGGATAGAATCAGTCACTCAGGAAACTAGCGATCTAGTTAGTCGGGTTGCAGTGCAGAAAATGAGATTTTCAGGCGAATGCTCATCCCGTACCCGTGAATAATTTGGAAGTATAAAGACAAATACCAAGAGATAAAGAGCAATCACATTTACACTAGATGGTTGTGCCCACACTAGTACAAAAGACCTAGGAATAGAATTACAGTAACCATGAATGGACGTCGTTACTGCAATCAAGCAGAGGACGACAAGAGAACAAGTGAACACAAAAGTTCTTCCAAAGCAACGGGAAAATGTCCGGAGAAACCAAGTCTGAGAAAAATTTTTCGGATGATCGAGACAAGTTCTGGAGCATAGCTTGGAGGCGGAATCGGATGTATGCCTTTGAGGCCAGAGGGTTTGTGTCCAGATCGGACATAAAAAAAATTCTCAACGCGGTATGAGGCAAAAAAATTGTGTTGATCAGGCAGGAAATAAGGCATGGAGCTTGGAGGTCACGAAAATGTCTGCATTTTTCATTAGGTAGGATTCGTGTAAGCCACTGGAATTGAACGTAGGAAAGAAGAGCAAGCGTTGCGGCTAGCTTATGCGGCCGGACTTACAGCCGGCGTGTCCAATTATCAGTTCGCCTTCCGATCAATGAACATATCTTTGACTCTGTCGATTACAGCTGTACAGGAGTCATAAGCGGCAACGTAACGAGCGCATGTCGAAGAGGGATGTGATGGTTTGTACATTTCAGTCTAAATCCCCCGGATACACGCTGCAAGAACCGCGTGCTTGCTATACACAGGTTCTAGCTGCCAATCTCGTTCACCGATGGTTTGGGGAGGCGAGGTAGATAGCCACTCATTGCACGCGACAGCTGATATACAGAGTTGCCATTGGACTTTCTATTACAGAGATTGCGACCGCAGCTATGCAATGAAACGAATAGCTTGGATGCATGGGAGCCATTGAGCGTGTGACTGAGCCATGTCTGCCAATGTCTTAAACCATTGGGGTAGGCCATGCTTATCGATAATAATGATAAACCATTGGTGTATCCCATCTCGCGGTCACCATCCAGGGAGACGATAATGACGAGCGCAACTGAGTTTGCTGATAGTGCCTTTAATACTTCAGTCAAGTTATTGTTTGACCTCTCTTGGCTTGTTTCCACCCTTCACTTGGTTGTGCGGAAAGAGCCCTTCGATGAAGTCGGTCGACTGGAATACGGAACACGTGACCAAGTCAGTCAGCCCTGTGGAGGGTGATTAGTTCAGCAAGTTCACGAAAGCTGCCCTGACCTTCCCAATCCGGATTGAAATATCATCTTTCGCGATACTACCTGAACTGATACATCCACCCAGGTAGACAAATGGTGATTAGTTCAGCAAGTTCACGAAAGCTGCCCTGACCTTCCCAATCCGGATTGAAATATCATCTTTCGCGATACTACCTGAACTGATACATCCACCCAGGTAGACAAATTTGTCTGCTACTTCATTCCGCTCATCCGCAAGAATGAGCCCACCCAGGCTTTGAGCAGAACTTTGCACTTTGCAAGTGTGAAGCACATGACAAACCGTGAGGCAGAATTATTTAAATCATTTAATATTGTTTGCACTACCACGGCGTCAGATCCAAGAACTACGTCATTTGTGTACTCAATATTTGTGAGCGAACACTCCGGGAGCACTTCGACTCATTAGGCATTAGAGGCTGGTATTGAGTCTTCCGTTATTGTATCAATGACGAAGTTGAAGAGGAGAAGTTAGAGAGGACAGCCTTTCCTGCCACCCTTTGATGTAATTAACTCAGACCGGAACTGCCCACAGACCAGAGAGGTGGTGTAGAGCACCTTAAGGCGGGTCAGAAATTTACCGAGGCATCAGTGCTCCACGGACACTTTCATAATGCCTGACGCTTCATAGAGTCAAAGGCAGAGTTCAAGTCAAGAAAGACTAGCATTAATTGGCACTGGGAAAGTGTCATTGTTCCAGAGTTTGCCGGAGGATGAGTATATGGTCGATTCATCCTCTTACAGGACGGAACCCAGCTTGGTTTTCACGGATCTGCCTCTCTATGTTCAGTCACTTTCGAAGGGTAAGACATGAAAATACCTTTGATGCGCGAAATGACTGTGGTTAGAGCGCGAATTTACTGAACGGAAGGTCCGCGGTTCGAACCCCACCTCTACATCTAAATTCTCCTGTCTACGCTTGGGCAAACTGACAGCATCTCATCACTTGTGCTTCCTTCAGGTGGTATCGCAGATAGGCACTGAAAGGGTGCTACAGCTGAAGGACTTTTTTTACCCTCGATGCCACAGCTACCAGGCTGATGCCACGGTGATTTTACACAGCACCGCACAATCCGTAACAATCCGCAAACGTCCTGTGTTCACATTATCGCCTCGTATTGAACATGGTTCCGATTTTACTTTCAGTTTATGAATGTCTATACTCAGACAACTAAAGCGCTATTCATTCCGTCATTTTCTCGCGCTCAATCTAGGCTCCATTCGTAACACAGGGATCTGTACCGCTCCCGGAAAAAATTGCATTAGCGGACTGGACACTAAAGAACTGAGGAGACCCGCTAGTTCCAGCTGGTGACAATTTAACAAGACGTAAGAAAGACCACAACTAATGCCTGACTACTTTTCCGGATTCAAAAGAAGGAACTGAGCCTCAAGAAGGCAACCCACATTGTGCTGAACGATATCCAGTGCTGTGCGCAACTGCCATGATTATCATCATTATCACTGATAAGAACACTGATGCTTCAATTTCGTAAAACCATGTCAAGTTACATGAGTAAAGCTTCATAATGCAAAGAAAGAAATAAGATCTGGAATGGGATGTAAAGCCACCCTACAACAGACATCCGGGAGCCTACACCTCAAGCACTCAGACGGGCAATTTGGATAGAAACCGACAGCATAATCCATTCAGCTGTTAACCATCATCATCATCATCATCATCATGTAGTAATGGTTTCATGCTTCGCTGCCAAGTCATTGTTTGACCGCCTCTGGCTCTCTTCCAACCTTCACATGGTTGGGCGAAAAGAGCCCCTCGGGGAAGTCGATCGACTGGCATACGCAGCACGTGGCCAAGCCAGCGCAACCTATGCAGTGTGATCGGTTCATCTATCGAGGGTGAATTATTTCTCCCGAATACCATGTGAAG